AGTCTAGGAGGAGAGATCCCAAAGCCAGCTTTCCTGAATGAGGAACAGGGTAGGACAGGTATACAGAGTACAGTAGGTTCCCACCTAATAGAGTTATTTCCTATTCCCTTATACAGCCTGGTGAAAAGGGCAGTACTAAGTCCTATGTTTCAAAATGCATTCTTCTAGGCATTTTTTAAAGAATGATGCTCAGCCATAGACTTTAGAAGTAAGTAGGGTTTAAAATCAAACTTTTAAAAAAATTTAAACTTAAGAAATGTTAGAATTCCTTAGGCATATTTATTTTACCAATCCTCAAATATGCAAAGTTATAAATACTTTGTAGAAATGTTATGGCATATGGATTTTTATCATGTGTTCTTGATTTTATTATTATATTTCCTAATGAAGGATAAACACTTATTCATTTAAGAAAGGAAGATGGGGTTTAGAAAAAAGGGAAGAAATGAAAAAAGCATTTTGCAGCCAGGGTTCCCCAAATTAGGTCCACACCAAAATCACCTGGGAAGTTTATTTGAAAGACAGCTTTATAAAGGTGTTATTTACTTACCATAAAATTTGTTCATTTAAGTATAAAATTTAATAATTTTAGTAAATATATGCAGTTGTGCAACTACTACCACAGTTCAGTTATGACATTTCTATCATCCCCCAAATACTTCCTCATACCTGAAAGCTTTTAATTTTGATTTTAAATCAATTCATTCTCAAATTATATAAAAAAACCAATGTTAAGAGTTTGCCGTTTTCTCATACAGTACTTTTATCAATACTTTTGTGCATTTATATACTGTCTTAGTAAGTCAGGCTACCATAACAAAAAATGTCATAGACTAGGTGGCTTGTCAACAACAAACATTTGTTTCTCACAGTTCTGGAGGATGGGAAGTCCAAGATCAAGGCATTGGTGGATTTTTGTCTGGTGAGGGCCCATTCCTCATAGACAATGCCTTCTTACTATATCTTCTTTTTTTTTCTTATTCTTCCCAGCCTTCAGAAACACTCACTACATCCTCATGTTGTAAAAAAGGGCAAGGCAGCTCTCTAGAGCTTCTTCTATAAAGGCATTAATCCCAATCAGAGAGCTCTATCCTCATTACCCAATCGTCTCTCAAATACCCCACATCCTATTACCTTTGTTGTTAGGATTTCAACATACAAATTTGAGGGGGACACAAACATTTAGACCATAGCACATACATAAGGAAATAATAGCCACACGTGTGTTGAGTTTTTTTGTTTCATTAAAAAAATTAATGGGGCCAGGAACAGTAGCTCACGCCTGTAATTCCAGCACTTTGGGAGGCCAAGGCAGGTGAATCACTTGAGGTCAGGAGTTTGAGACCAGCCTAGCCAATAAGGCGAAACCCTGTCTCTACCAAAAAATATAAAAATTAGCTAGGTGTGGTGGTGCACACACCTGTAGTCCCAGCTACTCAGGAGGCGGAGATGGGAGACCTGTATGAACCCAGGAAGTGGAGATTGCTGTGAGCTGAGATTGTACCACTGCACTTCAGCCTGGGTGCCAAAGTGAGGCCCGGTCTCAAAAAAACTAAATAAAAATAAAAATAAATAAATGGAACCATAGCATATGTTCTCTTTCATGACCTGCCTTTTTTTATTGAAAAATATGTCTCAGAGATCTTTTCATTTTGGTTCTTTTTTCTCATTCTTTTGTAATGTCTTCCTGGTATTCCAGAGGATAAATACAGTGTAATTCATTTGGCCACCATTTCCCCTTTTGATGAAAATGTAAGCTATTTTCTTTTTTTCACATTTCATCTTAAATAATGTGGAAATCATATTTGTGTACTACATTCATATGCATCTGTGTGTTATTCCTGGAGGACAGCTCCTAGAAATGCAAGCCCAGGTGTGAATTTTGTTTAAAATGGGTATCCAAACACCCTTCCTCTCCATTCTCAGTCCTCCAAGAGTTAATTTATTAGATCTGGGCGGAGCTTTACTTTTACCAAGCACCTGCTCTAGTGATTTGGATATAGCCAGCGTGGCACCAGCTGCAACTGTCATTGTGGAGTCTTTGTTCTGAAGCAAACATCAGTGACTTTGTAGTCAGAAAAGCGTAGGTTCAAATCCAAGCTCTGTCATTGCAAGTGGTATAACCGTGGCTGCCATTCTTTCTTGCCTATGCCCATGCACCCAGTTATTCTTGAGCATCTAGTAACAAGCATTGAGCAATTCTTATGTGTTCAATTCTCAGTCAGTAGGTAACACAGATACAAAAACAAATGAATAAATACAGTAAAGTGTCATATATTTTATAAAGAAGAGGCTAGTCCATTTTATGTTTAGTAGAGAAGGATAATTGAGGAAATCTGAAGGGATGATGGAGGAAACTCTAAGGGTGAGCCTTAAATTAAGGTTTCTGCCAAGAGAGCAAAGATAACCCAGGCAAAGGAAGCAATGAGCGCAATGGCCCGGAGGTAGCATGCACTGTGATTTCGTAAAATACAAAGTGCAAGCGGCAGCAAAGAGGCTGGGGAGGCAGACAGGATTATGGTAGGGTGTGCTAGGGTCCATTTAAAGGGCTGTACCATAGGACATACCATGGTACAGTTGCATTCAGCACAACTTTTATGCTACGGTAAGAAATAAAGGGGCTTTGGCAGGGAGACCCAGGTCATAGAGTCAGCTGGCGTGGAGTCTTGCCCCAGGCTAGCACTCTTCACACAGTCCACACCAAACCCTAGTGTTAGAACCCATTAGAAAGCCAATTAGGGCTCCCTAACTATTGTTGACTTGCCCAGTTGATAAGCTTATTGTTCCTGGTCTTGCTGCAACCCAGCACTAAGCCTAGTATTGAATGCTCAGCCAGGTACAATGGTTAATTTTATATGTCAGCTTGGCTAAGCCACAGTGTCCAGATATTTGGCCAAACATAATTTTGGGTGTTCCTGTGAGGGTGTTTTTGAATAAGATTGACATTTAAATCAGTCAACTTCAAATAAAGTGATTGCCCTTCTTAATGTGGGTGGGCCACATCCAATCAATTGAAGGCTGACTAGAACAAACGAATGACTTCCCCCCAGTAAGAATTCCCAGTAAGAGAGAATTCTGCCAGCAGATGGCTTTTGGACTTGGACTGCAACATCAGCTCTTTCTGGGTCTCTGGGTTGCTGGTTCACTGTGCAGATTTTGAACTTACCAGCTTCCTTAATTGCATGAGTCAATTCCTTGGAATAAATCTCTCCAGGTATATGCACACCCAGTTGGTTCTGTTTCTCCAGAGAACCCTAACACATCAGGGAAGACAGTATGAGTCTTTAGCAGTTCTCTCTAGGGCTAGAGGCAGCCCCAAGACTGTGATGGGAATGCTTCTCATCACAGGAAGAACATTCAGAAAGGTTGTGGGGGATGGATAGACAATTTGGTGACATAATCTCTCTCTCTACAGGTATCTCCATTACAGCAGTTGTTTATACACATCTTTTCTGAACTCCTTCTTTTCGTTTTCTGTCTTAGTCCAGGACCTGATACTTGCCTGAACCTGCACAGAAGGCTGCTTTGCCTGTTTTTGTTGTGGTTTTTGTTTAGTTTTGTTTTTGTACATTTTCTTCAGTTATTGACACAAGTCACTCAAGTCTCAGAAGGTGGGATCCATATATTGAAAATTTTTCATATTTTCCTTGTAAAGCGAAGGTCGTAGTCATACTGGCACTTTCAGCTTAATATTACTTTACAATTTATAGAATAGTTTTTTGTTTAATTAAGCTCTTAACCTCAGTCATGAAATCTGTAAATTGAGGATAATATAATAATTCGGACTAGTACTACAGTACTTCATAGACTGCTCTAAGGATTAAATGAGAGCATGCATGTCAAGAGCTTAGCAATGTACCTGGCATTTAATAAATGCTAGGTCTTTCCCTTATGAGATCAGAAGTCTCATATGATTATTTCAACAAGCCTCTAAAGTAGACAAGAAATGATCAGTTAACCCTGTTTCAATAATGAAAATGAAGCTGAGAGGTAAAGTATCTTCTTTGGGGCCACACAGCCAAAAAGTAGAAAAACCAGAACCTGAATTCAGAGCTTCTGACTTCAATGCTGTTATTACTGTGCACACTGAGCTTTTGGGGCACACCATAGACCTGGAAAAGATACATATACACACAAGAATATACACCCTGAAAAGATGCAAACACACACAAGAGCATAGACCAGGAAAAGATACACACACACACACACAAGAGCATAGACCCGGAAAAGATACATATACCCACAAGAATTTATGCAGATCTATATGAGAATGTGCAGCCAACAATAAAACAAATATACTATCTATGTATTTACATGTATATTGTAAACATATGTGCACATTTTCCCAAATCATGTCAATTTTGCTCTTCTTATTCAAATACTACTGTTTTAATTTCTTCTTAAAATCTTTATAAATGGACTACTAAAAACATATACTAAGGTCATACATTTTTGAGGGGATCAGATTTCTTGCAGGTCTTTTAATGTACCAAACTGGTGGTAGAATGTGAAACTTTTAATACAGCCACTTGAATTGTCTACATATCCTTTTTAAGGGATATGAATCTTAGTTATACATTTTTTTGTATGTTGACATAGACTCCATCAGAAAGATTTCAGCCAAGTAGCCTTTTTCCAGCTTCCAAAGCCACATATTTGCAGTCTGCCTCTAGAATGAAGAAAACTCAACTGGAGAAGAAATGGAATATATATGGACCATGAGAACAGAGCTTTACTACAGCATCACCATAACATTGCACATCTGTAGAAAATGACATCTATCATAAACTTCAGAGAAGGCAAATGTGTCATGGTGGAGACACAGCCTGTGGAGCCAAGTAGGGGTAAGTTTACATTCCTATTTGTCAGTGGAGCGAACTTATGCAAGAAGTGTCCATTATGAGTTCAAGGCCATACATTTTAATAAAATATGTTTGTCTATATGAGTAGATGTGGAAATACTGTATTGGTCGGCATTTGCACAATAATGGTTGGCAACTAAATATTCAAAACTCAGTGGTTGATAACACTAAGCATGGATTTTCATGTTCATGGATTTTCATGTTAATAATTTTGGCTGATCCAGGCAGGGTTCAGCTGGGAATTTCTACTGCAGGGTGCTCAACCTACCTCCAGTGTACATATTGTGTTTCGTTTGGGCTCAAGCCTCCAGGGCAGTGATGACTCAGCACATACGTAATCAAGTTACAGGACAGAGCAAAACCCCAAACCAACATCTAGAGTCAAATATTTGATAATGACATTGATACATAATTATGCTTTCTATCCTTTACAATCTTTCAAATGCTTTCAAATTTAACTTTTCATTAATTAGGAAGATAGGTATATATTTTCATGTGGCTTTAAATAGAAATTTCCTTAAATAGGCTTCATTTGGGGAGAAAAATCTGGGTCTGAAGTAAATATTCCTTAAAGTATAGCTTCTTAAGCCTTGCTTAGATCACTTGTTAACTTCCTAAAATGTAGATTGTCATTCAGTTCATCTAAGGTGGCTCTGCAATTTTGCATTTCTGACATGTTCTCAGGGATGCTGATGATGCTTTTGAATTCTGGACAAATTTTGAGTTGGAAGAAAAATAATGCTACATCCACTTTTTCAATTATTTTTATTTTTATAGAGAGATTTTATTTGTTTCTGAAATGATAGTTATATGGTTTATGCAATAAAATGAAAAAAGTTTATGCAGATTGATGAATAAAAATGTGTATTTCAACAGTTTCTATATCATGCCAGATGAATAATAAGTGTTGAAAAATAATCAACAAAAGAAAAACCTCAATCAACTGTTCTTAGCCTTGACACATTTCTCTGTAAAATCTTGAGCAGATCAAATACCTCAAATGCCTCAGCAAGCAACTTGAAGTTCCAGCATGCACTCCCTTCAGCTCCCCGGGTCACTTCCGTTCCAGAAAGCACAGACCTATAGCCTCTTCTGTTTTGAAACTCAGCTACTTTTGCGTAGCTGCTGCTTCCAGCCTCCATTGCCAGGATTCCATTCTCTGTCCTTCTTCATAATTTCTTCCAGCATCAGAGTTATCTTTCTAAGGCTCAAATCTTATCATAATCCTCAACCACTTATCAACAAATTCAGTCCCCGCCCAACACTCCTATGTTAAAATTCAACTCCCCTCACAAGGCCCACAGGCCATTCTTCATGCATTCAATCAACAAATGTTTATTCCCGCATAGCCAAGTCAATTCTAAGCAAAAAGAACAAAGCGGGGGGCATCACACTACCAGACTTCAAACTATACTACAAGGCTACAGTAATCAAAACAGCATGGTACTGGTACCAAAACAGAGATATAGACCAATGGAACAGAACAGAGGTCTCGGAGGCAACACAACCTTTCTACAACCATCTGATCTTTGACAAACCAGACAAAAATAAGCAATGGGGAAAGGATTCCCTGTTCAATAAATGGTGTTGGGAAAGCTGGCTAGCCATGTGCAGAAAGCAGAAACTAGACCCCTTCCTGACACCTTACACTAAAATTAACTCCAGATGGATTAAAGACTTAAACATAAGACCTAACACCATAAAAACCCTAGAAGAAAATCTAGGCAAAACCATTCAGGACGTAGGTGTAGGCAAGGACTTCATGACCAAAATGCCAAAAGCATTGACAACAAAAGCCAAAATAGACAAATGGGACCTAATCAAACTCCACAGCTTCTGCACAGCAAAAGAAACAATCATTAGAGTGAATCGGCAACCAACAGATTGGGAAAAAATTTTTGCAGTTTACCCATCTGACAAAGGGCTGATATCCAAAATTTACAAAGAACTAAAGCAGATTTACAAGAAAAAAACTAACAAGCCCATTCAAAAGTGGGCAAAGGATATGAACAGACACTTCTCAAAAGAAGACATACGTGAGGCCAACAAACATATGAAAAAATGCTCATCATCACTGGTCATCAGAGAAATGCAAATCAAAACTACACTGAGATACCATCTCATGCTGGTTAGAATGACGATCATTAAAAAATCTGGAGACAACAGATGCTGGAGAGGATGTGGAGAAATAGGAACACTTTTACACTGTTGGTGGGAGTGTAAATTAGTTCAACCATTGTGGAAGACAGTGTGGCGATTCCTCAAGGACCTAGAAATAGAAATTCCATTTGACCCAGCAATCCCATTACTGGGTATATATCCAAAGGATTACAAATCGTTCTACTATAAGGACACGTGCACACGAATGTTCATTGCAGCACTGTTTACAATAGCAAAGACCTGGAACCAACCCAAATGCCCATCGACGATAGACTGGATAGGGAAAATGTGGCACATATACACCATGGAATATTATGCAGCCATAAAAAACGATGAGTTTGGGTCCTTTGTAGGGACATGGATGAACCTGGAAACCATCATTCTCAGCAAACTGACAGAAGAGCAGAAGATCAAACACCGCATGTTCTCACTCATAGGCGGGTGTTAAACAATGAGAACACATGGACACAGGGAGGGGAGCACTACACACTGGGGTCAGTTGGGGGGAAATAGGGGAGGGACGGTGGGGGGTGGGAAGCTGGGGAGAGATAGCAAGGGGAGAAATGCCAGATGTAGGTGATGGGGAGGAAGGCAGCAAATCACACTGCCACGTGTGTTCCTATGCAACAATTTTGCATGTTCTTCACATGTACCCCAAAACCTAAAATGCAATAAAATAAATAAATGGGAAAAAAAAAAAACAAAAAACAAAAACAAAAAAAAAACAAATATTTATTGTGCCAGACAGAGTTCTACAGGTTGGGGAAATCAAAGTCCCCACCTTCATGGAGTTTGCATTCCAGTAGGAAAGATGGATCCACAAGCAAATAAATGCAAACAAATCAGATATTGTCCTAGCACAGGCTTACCCACTTCTCCTGCCACTCTGCCATAGACAGTGCATACTTGCTCCCCATTTCTCTACAGCCCCAAGTACATCATGTTCTTGGCTACCTTTGAGCCTATATCCTTGTTGTTTTTCTATCTAGAATGTCCTTGACTCTTCTCTACTTGGAACAGCATAATTGTCTTTGAAGACAGATCACATGACCTGCCATGTGAAGCTTTCCATCTTTCTTTTTTTTGAGATGGAGTCTCGCTCTGTCGCCAGGCTGGAGTGCAGTGGCACCATCTCAGCTCACTGCAACCTCCGCCTCCTAAGTTCAAGCAATTATCCTGCCTCAGCCTCCTGAGTAGATGGGACTACAGGCAAGTTCCACCATGCCCAGCTAATTTTTGTATTTCTTGTAGAGACGTTTTTTCACCATGTTGGCCAGGATAGTCTCAATCTCTCGACCTCGTTATTCACCTGCCTTGGCCTCCCAAAGATTTTCCATCTTAACTCCATGTAGTTATGTCCTGGTTTGTGCCTCATTAAATCTGAAATGTCTGTCACGGCCATGTTTTTATTCATCCTTTTTTTAGTAGACGATTCACCATCTTTATTAGAAGATCCACCCTCATCCAATACAGGTTGGCACCATCCAATTGGCTGGGGACCCAGATAGAACAGAAAGGCAGGGAAAAGGCAAGTTATCTTTCTCTCCATTATGGGGCTGGGCCTTTTCTTTTCTTTTCTTTTTTTTTTTTTTTTTCTTTTTTTGAGAGAGCATCTAGCTCTGTCACCCAGGCTGGAGTTCAGTGGAGCGATCTTGGCTCACTGCAACCTCTGTCTCCCGGGTTCATGTGATTATCCTGCCTCAGCCTCCTAGTAGCTGGGATTACAGGCATGCACCACCATGCCATGCTAAGTTTTGGTTTTTTTTTTTTTGTTGTTTTTTTTTTTTTGAGCGGGGTTTGCGCCATTGCACTCCAGCCTGGGCAACGAGAGCAATTCTACTTCCTCAGCCTCCTGAGTAGCTGGGATTACAGGCATGCGCCACCACGCCCAGCTGATTTTTTTTGCATTTTTAGTAGAGACGGGGTTTCACCATGTTGACCAGGATGGTCTCGATCTCTTGACCTCGTGATCCACCCGCCTCGGCCTCCCAAAGTGCTGGGATTACAGGCGTGAGCCACCGCGCCTGGCCATGCTAAGTTTTGTATTAGAGATGGGGTTTCACCATGTTGGCCAGGCTGGTCTTGAACTCCTGACCACAAGCGATCTGCCCACGCCTTAGCCTCCCAAGGTGTTGGGATTACTGGTGTGAGCCATAACGCCCAGCCTGGTACAGTCTTCTTAACCTGCCCTTGGACATGAGAACTCTAGGTCCTTTGGCTTTTGGCCTTTGACCGAAAGTTACACCAGTTCTCCAGCTTGCAGACAGCCTAGGGTTGGACTTCTAAGCTTCCATAATCACATAAGCCAATTCCCGTAATAAATACCCTTTATATGTTCAATTATCTACTGTGCTTTTGGTTCTGGAGAGCCCTAATACAACCCCTCCCCTCATTCCAAGCTTCACAAATATGACTTAGCCCCTTTTCATCAAGAAGCACAGTCTATTTCTTTACACCTTGAATCTCGGCTAGACTTATACTTGCTTTGGTCAGTAGAATGTGTCAGAGAGTTGGGGTTCTTGCTGACTTCTGGTCTCCTGGATTCCTGTGTCTGCCATGAGAACAAACATGAGCTAGCTGGCTGATGGATGAGAGACTTAATGGAACAGAATCAAGATAAACCAGTAGTCCCTACAAGATTCCAAGGCAGAAGCAACAGATATTCCCAGATAACCAATGGATTCATGAAATGAATTAAATATTTATTGCTCTGTGTCCCTAAGGTTTGTGACTGTCTGTTACACAGCATCTTTGTGGCCCTTGCGCACTGATGCAAATGCTTTAGGGCATCATCAAATCTTATTATTTTTTATGTCAGACACATCATTTGCACTGTTTTAGTCATTTATTCACTTATTCATGTATCTGTATTTCAAGCAGATTAGTCTACTATATGCCAGACACAATTAAAGGGCTTAAAGATTAATATGGCATATTTTGTGCCCTAATCAATAAATGTCAATGAGACAATTGACATGTATCTTTTCCCCTTGAGTAGCTCTAGAAATAGAACTTCCCTGACTGCTCCATAGAGCCAATTCCTCTGTTTAATCTCTCCAGGGGTTAAGAAGTTCTTCCTTATGTCCAGCCCCAAACTCTCCAGCTTTAGTTTGAGCTTCTGTCTTTTCGTTCAGTTGCCCATGAACCTGGGGAATAAAGCTCAGCATCTGCCTCATATAAACCCTTTATGAATTTAAATTCAGTCATTAAGTCAGGGAAACAGTTAAGCCACTTTACATGTGCTAAAGATTTTATTTTGGGATATCTCTGTGGGAAGGGATGTTTGGGATTAATTGAGCTTTCTGGATATCTGCACATGAGCACCAGAGTTTTATATATAGAACTAGAACACCTGATCACAGCACCTGCAAGGGGAAATTACTCATTTAACCTCTTGAACTCCAGCCAAAGAGAGGAAGATGTTGAGGCTCTAAAAGAAAACCCTGTGGCAAGGGGTCAGGTCCCATGGTTGGAGCACAGGAGGGACACTCCAAAGATACCGTCTTGGAACTCAACTTTGCCTGCGTCCCCTCTCCCATTCCTCATGGTCGCTCCAGGTCATATTCTGCTTAAAACCCTTTTTAGGGCCAGGTTCTTAATCATTCACTAATCTATAAGTCTCTGATTGCTCCAGATACCATCTTCTATAACATTTTAAGAGGTTAGTTTCATAGAATTTTGTAAATACTGGAAAGGAAAATCTATCTTTTTCATTCTTTCTTCCAACATAGAGTTTAGAAAATCATCATTCTTGCAGAAGGTTTGATAAATATTTGCTTTTCTCTTTCCACCATCTTTAAAATACAATGAACTAATTCAAACTCATGTTCTAAATTCATATGATCAGAGAGGACTCTGCTAACCATTCTATATAAACTTACATGCTGTCTCATTTTTTCTGGCTTTTTAAAATCTATTAATTTTATTGCTGTAGCTTATTCCATTGTGTGACTCTATTACATTTATTTATTTATATGTCTGGGTTTCTAGGCTTATTTCTTTGTTTAAGAAAAACAAGTTCAGGTGTACATGTGCAGGTTTGCTATATAGTTAAACTCCTGTCATGGGGGTTTATTATACAGATTATTTCATCACCCAGATACCAAGCCTAGTGCCCAATAGTTATTTTATGCTCCTCTGCCTCCTCCCAGCTTCCACCCTGAGGTAGGTCCCAGTGCCTGTTGTTCCCCTATTTGAGTCCACGTGTTCTCATCCTTTAACTGTCACTTATAAGTGAGACCATGGAGTATGTGGTTTTCTGTTCCTGCATTAATTTGCTGAGAATGATGGCTTCCAGCTCCATCCATGTTCCTGCAAAGGACATGATAACGTTCTTTTTTATGGTTGTATAGTATTCCATGGTGTATATGTACCATATTTTCTTTATCCAGCCTACCTCACTCTCATTTTTGATCTCCTTTTTGTCCTCTATTCTTCTTTCTAGTTCCTAGTATCAGCTGACCTTCATGTATTTAAGTGCATATGTTTTTTAATGTGTTTTTCCCCACAAGAAGTGGAAATTTGTTTTGGTGTTTTCCTTCATTTGTCTAATTTTTTTCATTTTTTATTCAAATGCAATTCATATAGTAAAAAATTTACCTTTTTAGTGTAGCGTTCTATGAGTTTTGACAAGATATCTGTTTAAATTCTTTGCCAATCTACAATCACATATCCACCACTACCATTAAGATGTAGGACAATTCCATCGCCCTCAGAAATTTCCAAATGCCCCTTTGTACCAGCCCTTCCCCTCACCATTCACCAGAAATTACCAGTCTCTTTTCTGTATCTCTAGTTTTACCTTCTCCAGGAAGCCATAAAGATTAAATCATGTATTATGTAGCCATTATGGCTCCTTTTACTCATCATTATACATTTGAGATTCATCCTTGTTTTTGCATATATCAGTAAATTCTTTTCCTCTTTTAATGCTAGAAGTGTGCCATTGCATGAATTGTACCACAGTCATTTATAATTTTAACGACATTTGAGTTATTGCCAGGTTTTGCCTGTTACACATAAAGCCATTATAAATATTTGCATTCACAGTGCTTTGTAAACATAAGCTTTCATTTCTCTTGGGTAAATACCTAGGAGTGGGATTGGCAGTTCATAGATTAAGTGTATGTCTAATTTTACAAAAAAGTGCCAAATTGTTTTCCAAAATTACCGTACCATTTTGCATTCTCACCATCAGTATATGCGAGTTCCAGGTGTTCCACATTCTTTCCAGAACTTGGTATTATTAGTTGTCACTTGTCTGCTTTTGCTCTGTTTTATTTTGTTTGGCATTCCAGTAGGCAAGTGGTGGTAGAGTGTTGTGGTTTTGATTTTCATTTCCTTAGTGATAAATTACACTGAGTATCTTTATTTATTTATTTTTTTTATTTTTTTGAGATGGAGTCTCACTCTGTCACTCAGGTTGGAATGCAGTGATGTGATCTTAGCTCACTGCAACATCTGCCTCCTGGATTCAAGCGATTCTCCTGCCTCAGCCTCCCGAGTAACTGGGATTACAGGTGTCCACCACCATGCCTGGCTATTTTTTGTATTTTTAGTAGATACAGAGTTTCACCATGTTGTCCAGGCTGGTCTTGAACTCCTGACCTCAGGTGATCCACCTGCCTCAGCCTCCCAAAGTGCTGGGAATCACAGGTGTGAGTCACTATGCCTGGCCACTGAACATCTTTTTATGTGCTTATTTGCCATCAATTCATGTTCAATGGTGAGGTATCTGTTTAAACTCTTTGCCAATTTTTAATCAAGGCATTTATTTACTTATAAGTTTTGAGAGTCCTTTACGTATTCTGGGTATCAGCCTTTTATCAGATTTATGATTATAAACATTTTATTCCAGTTTGTGTTTTGTCTTCTATCCTCCTAAAAGGGTCTGCTGAAGAGTAGAAGTTCTTAATTCCAATGATGTACAGTTTCTTAATTTTTTTATGGCTTATGTTATGGTGTTGATTCTAATAAATCTTTGCCTAAGCCAAAACTATAAAGATTTTCTACCATGACTTCTTTTAAAGGACTTATAGATTGAGGCTTTAATTTCATGAGTATGATCAATTTTCGATTAGTTTTTGCATGTGATACAAGATAAAGATTGTGGTTCATTGCATGGATGTTCAAGTGTTCCAATACCAATTGTTGAATAGACTGGGAATTTAATTCAATGTTATTCCACTGCCTAGAACTGTTGCATGTGGGCAGGCATCCAATAAATATTTGACAAGTGAATGGATCTCATTAATTTGACTTTAAGTATGTATTTAACTCTTTAATTCATCTAGAATTGGTTTGGTATACTGTGAGAGCTATAAATTTAAATGAACTTATTTTCCAAATTATCTCTGTTATGCCAGCTTTATCTATTAATTTAGACCAAATAGTCTTCCTTGAAACAGAAATTATTTAATCTGATCCTTTCATTCACCATATATTCTAGCCACCAAGCTCTGAGCCAGACACTGAGTTAAACACTAAGACAGGAATTTATGTGTTCGTTTGGTGAAGCCTAGATTCCTTTCTCAGAATAATGTATTTGAATGCACAAAACAAAAACACAGGATTACAAAGGAAACAAATTATATTGAAGTACAGCTTTCAAAATACTTTTTAAAAATTGTGACATGGTAATACATGTGTTTCTTTATTTAAACATCATAACACAATCCAGTAGTAAGTCTAATGACTACCCTAATGTCAGAGCAGTGATAAGCTTGAGGCATTTTAAGAGGTCTGCAGCAACCTGCAATGTGACACAGAAAAACCTGGGACTTCTATTGCAAAGTTACAGACACTACTGATTCTACCGTGGCTTGTTGCCTATATCATAATTGAAGGACATGTTAAATTTCTGTTAGAGGTTAGTGAGAATAAAGATGTATTCTTTTCCTATTCAAATTCTAAGCCCCAATAATTGTAACTCCATTGAAGAACTTCTGAGCTGGAGGGATGCACAGATGAAGAAAGTAATAAAATGTGGCCCCTATTCTAAAGAAATTACATTTCAGTGCAAGGCAAAAGACATATGAGCAAGAGAATCTACAAGCTGCCAGATCCCTAGTCATCCCTAGAGGAACATATTAAGTCCCATGCTCACATGAGAGGAAAAGATGACCTCAGCGATCAGCATAATCTCTTTCTCCATCGCACCGCTGAATAATCAGACATAGCTATGTTTTTAAGAGCTTGGCCGTTACTAAAAATTTTTGAAAATGGAAAAAGAAGGTACTGCTCTCTGGGGCAGATGATGGACATGACAAGTAAGTTCTCTTCCACGTCATAGAAATGCCTTTTCTTCCTAAAATATAAAATTATACCCTAGAGTTGTGGGCTGAAATCTGGACCCCCACCCCACTAATGGGACATAGGCTGGTGAAAAAAGCCCACATCGTAAAATGGGCAAAAATAGTGACTTTGCATCACCAGACAGGTTTGAGCCTGAGTACTGTCATTTACCCATGTGTTTTAGGCAAGTGATGTAATCTGATGTAATCACCAGTTGAGGAGTGACTTCACCCATCAAGGGTGTCCTTCTCATCATGAGAATGTGCCTAGTTCTGTTCCTTCCCGGCTCCCTCTTCCCCTTTGGGAAAAGGGATAAACCTGTTCATAAACACACTCTCTGCTTTTTCCATGTGGTAATCTAACTGGGGTAGGCCTTAACGCTGGAACTGGGTAAGTGGAAGGGGAGAGCTGCAGTTGTTTGTCTGCTCTCCCTGGTATGTGTGCATGTTGTGTGTGTGTGCGCGCATGCACGCGTGTGTGCACGCACATTGAGGGGATAGATATCACACCAGTTACTTGAAGAGGGCATTTAATATAAAGAATTGTTAACTAGCTATAAAGTTGTTACCAAGGTAACTGAAAGAACAAAAGAGAGCTTAAGAGTATCACAGAGGTAGTAAATACAAGAAGCAGCTAACACCCAACGGGCCGGGGGAACACAGGGAGGAAGCTGACATCATTACAACTTAGAACTTGCAGAACAGCCCATGGAGCTGGGACCAAGACCTCTGAGGAACGGGCACTGCCAGCCTAGGAGTACCGCTGTGGCACGGCAGGGGAGTATAATGAGGTATTTTCTACAAGTGTTTTTAAAAAGCTGCAAACTGGATTTAGATGCTTCTATAGGAAGGAAACACCACTGCCAGGGTGAAGGGAAGAGGCTGGGTGATGCTCAGAGGAACCCAAAGTAGCTGGGAAGCCAATAGACAGTTTCCTCCTTTCCCCTCTGGCCTCTGATTCTCTCTCTCTCTCTAGTGCCCCCTATTGGCAGCTCCTAGCAAGGTAGCCGACAAAGCCCAAATGCAGTCCCAGCCTTGGCATTTCAGAGATGAGTATAAACAGGTGGACTGGAGCCAAGAAACAATAGTGTAGCAATTGACATAAGGGGTGTGTGGTGTGTGTGTGTGTGTGTGTGTGAGTGTGTGTCTGTGTGTCTGTGTGTGTCTGTGTATGTTTATGTACCGTATGCTGGGGAGTATATGCGTGAAATAGGAGTGGCAGGTAGGAAGTTCACCTCTATTTCTAGTACAGTTTTATGATTATTAAAGCATTTGATTCTTATGTGACTACTATGTTTATCTTTTAATTGGATAAAATGCAAAAGGGGTGGATGGCAAGATGGCCAAATAGAAAGAGTTCCAGTTTGCAGCTCCCAGCAAGATCAACACAGAAGGCAGTGATTTCTGCATTTCCAACTGAGGTACCCGGCTCATCTCACTGGGACTGGTTAGACAGTTGGTACAGCCCATGGAGGGCAAGCTGAAGCAGGGGGGCATTGTCTCACCCAGGAGGTGCAAGGGATCAGGGAACTCCCTCCCCTAGCCAAGGGAAGCAGTGAGGGACTATGCTGTGAGGAACGGTCCATTCCAGCCCAGGTATTATGCTTTTCCCATGGTCCTTGCAACCCACAGACCCAGAGATTTCCTCTGGTGCCTACACTACCAGGGTCCTGGGTTTCAAGCACAAAACTGGGTGGCTGCTTGGAAAGACACTGAGCTAGCTGCAGTATTTTTTTACATATACGCCTTGGCACCTGGAAAGCCATAAAGACAGAACTGTTCAGGCTCCTGGAAAGGGGGCTGAAGCCAGGGAGCCAAATGGTCTAGCTCAGTGGATCCCATCCCCATGGAGCCCAGCAAGCTAAGAGCCGCTGGCTTGAAATTCTTGCTGCCAGTACAGCAGTCTGAAGTGGACATGGAATACTTGAGCTTGGTGGGGGAAGGGGCATCCACCATTACTGAGGCTTGAGTAGGTGATTTTCCCCTCACAGTGTAAAGAAAGCCACCAGGAAGTCTGAAATGGGCAGAGCCCACTAAAGTTTGGCAAAGTCAGACTGCATCTCTAGATTCCTCTTCTCTGGGTGGGGCATCTCTGAAAGAAAGGAAGCAGCCTCAGTCAGGGGCTCATAGGTGAAACTCCCATCTCCCTAGGACAAAGCACCAGGGGGAAAGGGAAGCTATGGGTGCAGCTTCAGCAGACTTAAACGTTCCTGCCTGCTGGCTCTGAAGACAGCAGCAAATCTCCCAGCACAGCACTCAAGCTCTGCTAAGAGACAGACTGCCTTCTCAAGTGGGCCCCTGACCCCTGTGCCTCCTGACTGGGAGATATCTCCCAGCAAGGGTCAACAGACACCTCATACAAGAGAGCTCTGGCTGGTATCTGATAGTTGCCCCTCTGTGACAAAGCTTATAGAATAAGAAACAGGCAGCAATCTTTGCTGTTCTGCAGCCTCCACTGGTGATACCCAGGCAAACAGAGTCTGGAGTGGACCTCCAGCAAATTCCAGCAGACCTGCAGCAGAGAGGCCTGACTGTTAGAAAAAAAACTAACAAACAGAAAGAAATAGTGTCAACATCAACAAAAAGGAATTCCACACAAAAAGCCCATCCAAAGGACACCAGCATTAAAGACCAAAGGTAGATAAATCTACGAAAATGAAGAAAAGCCAGTGCAAAAAGGCTAAAAATTCCAAAAACAAGAACACCTCTTCTCCTCCAAAGGATCACAACTCTTTGCCAGCAAGGGAAAAAAACTGGATGGAGATTGAGTTTGAAGAAATGACAGAAGTAAGCCTCAGAAGATGGGTAATAACTAACTCCTCTGAGCTAAAGGAGCATGTTCTAACCCAATGCAAGCAATCTAAGAACCTTGAAAAAAGCTTAGATGAATTGCTAACTAGGATAACCAGTTTAGAGAAGAACATAAATGACCTGATGGAGCTAAAAAAACATAGCAAGATAATTTTGTGAAGCATATACAAGTATCAATAACTGAATCAATCAAGCAGAAGAAAGGGTATCAGAGATTGAAGATCAACTTAATGAAATAAAGCATGAAGACAAGATTAGATAAAAAAGAATGAAAAGAAATGAGCAAAGCCTCCAAGAAATATGGGACTATGTGAAAAGACCAAACCTGCATTTGATTGGTGTACCTGAAAGTGACAGGGAGAATGGAATCAAGTCAGAAACACTCTTCAGGATATTATCCAGGAGAACTTCCCCAATCTAACAAAACAGGCTGACATTCAAATTCAGGAAATACAGAGAACACCACAAAGATACTCCTCGAGAAGAGCAATCCCAAGACACATAATCATGAGATTCACCAAGATTGAAATGAAGGAAAAATGTTAAAGGCAACCAGAGAGAAGGGTCAGTTTACCCAGAAAGGGAAGCCCCTCAGACTAATAATGGATCTCTAGGCAGAAACCCTACAAGCTGGAAGCAAGTGGGGGCCAATATTCAACATTTTTAAAGAAAAGAATTTTCAACCCAGAATTTCATATCCAACCAAACTAAGCTTCATAAGTGAAGGAGATATCAAATCCTTTATGCACAAGCAAATGCTGAGACTTTGTCACAACCAGGCCTGCCTTACAAGAGCTCCTGAAGGAAGCACTAAATATGGAAAAGAAACTATGATATGAAGGAAACTATGACACATACCATTAACACTATGAAGAAACTGTATCAAGTAATGGGCAAAATAACTGGCTAGCATGATAATGACAGATTCAAATTCATACGTAACAATATTAGCCTTAAATGTAAATGGGCTAAATGACCAATTAAAAGACACAGACTGGCAAATTGGATAAAGAGTCAAGACCCATCGATGTGCTGTATTCAGGAAACCCATCTCATGTGCAAAGACACATATAGGCTCAAAATAAAGGGATGGAAAAATATTTACCAAGCAAATGGTAAGCAAAAAACAGCAGGGGTTGCAATCCTAGTCTATGATGAAACAGATTTTAAACCAACAAAGATCAAAAGAGACAAAAAAGGGCATTACATACTGGGAAAAAGATCAGTGAAACAAGGAGAGCTAACTATCCTAAATGTACATGCACCTAACACAGGAGCACTCAGATTCATAAAGCAAGTTCTTAGAGACCTGCAAAAAAACTTAGACTGCCACACAATAATACTAGGAGACTTTGACACCCCACTGTTAATATTAGACAGATCAACAAGACAGCAAATTAACAAGGATATTCAGGACTTGAATTCAGCTCTGGACCAAGAGGACCTAATAGACATCTATAGAATTCTCCACCCAAATCAACAGAATATGTATTCTTCTCAGCACCACATTGAATTTACTCTAAAACTGACCACATAATTGGAAATAAAACACTCCTCAGCAAATACGAAAGAATGGAAATCAAAATAAATAGTCTCTCAGATCATAGTGCAATCAAATTAAAACTCAGGATTAAGAAACTCACTCAAAAGTGCACAAGTACATGGAAACTGAACAACCTGCTCCTGAATGACTACTGGGTAAATAAAGAAATTAAGGCAGAAATAAATAAGTTCTTTGAAACCAATGAGAACAAAGACACAAGGTACCAGAATCTCTGAGACACAGCTAAAGCAGTGTTTAGAGGGAAATTTATGTCACTAAACGACCACAGGAGAAAGGAAAAGGATCTAAAATCAACACCCTAACAACACAATTAAAAGAACTGGAGAAGCAAGAGCAAACAAATTCGAAAGTTAGCAGAAGACAAGAAATAACTAAGATCAGAGTGGAACTGAAGGAAATAGAGACATGAAAAACCCTTCAGAATTCAGGAGCTGGCTTTTGGAAAAGATTAACCAAATAGACCACTAGCCAGACTAATAAAGAAAGAAAGAAAGAAGCATCAAATAGACACAATAAAAAATAATAAAGGGGATATTACCACTGATCCCACAGAAATAAAAACTGCCATCAGAGAATACTATAAATACCTCTACACAAATAAACTAGAAAATCTAGAAGAAATGGATAAATTCCTGCACATATACACCCTCCTGAGACTAAACCAGGAAGAGGTTGAATCCCTAAATAGACCAATAATGAGTTCTGAAATTGAGGCAGCAGTTATTAGCCTACTAACCAAAAAAAAGCTCAGGATCACACATATTGACAGTCAAATTCTACCAGAGGTACAAAAAGGAGCTGATACTGTTCCTTCTGTAACTATTCCAAACAATAGAAAAAGAGGAACTCCTCCCTAATTCATTTTATGACGCCAGCATCATCCTGATACCAAAACCTGGCAGAACACAACAAAAAAAGAAAATTTCAAGCCAATATCCCTGATGAATATCAATGCAAAAATCCTCAGTAAAATACTGGCACACTGAATCCAGCAGCACATCAAAAAGCTTATATACCTTGATCAAGTCAGCTACATCCCTGGGATGCAAGGCTGGTTCAACATATGCAAATTAATAAACGTAATCCATCACATAAACAGTACCAGTGACTAAAACCACATGATAATCTCAATAGATGCAGAATAAGCCTTCAATAAAATTCAACACCCCTTCATGCTAAAAACTCTCAATAAACTAGGCATTGATGGAACGTATCTCAAAATAATAAGAGCTATTTATGACAAACCTACAGCCAATATCATACTGAATGGGCAAAACCTGGAAGCATTCCCTTTGAAAACCTGCATAAGACAAGGGTGTCCTCTCTCACCACTCCTATTCAACAGAGTATTGGAAGTTCTGGCCAGGGCCATCAGGTAAGAGAAAAAACTAAGTGGTATTCAAATAGGAAAAGAGAAATTCAAATTGTCTCTGTTTGCAAATGACATCATGGTGTATTTAGAAAATCCCATCATTTCAGCTTAAAAATCTTAAGCTGATAAGTAACTTCAGCAAAGTCTCAGGATACAAAATCAAAGTGCAAAAATCACAAGCATTCCTATATACCAATAATAGACAAACAGAGAGTCAAGTCATGAGTCAACTGCCATTCACAATTGCTGCAAAGAGAATAAAATACCTAGGAATAGAAATGCAAATCGAAACCACAATGAGATACCATCTCACGCCAGTTAGAATGGCGATCATTAAAAAAATCAGGAAACAACAGATACTGGAGAGGATGTGGAGAAGTTGGAACATTTTACACTGTTGTTGGGAGTGTAAATTAGTTCAACCATTGTGGAAGACACCGTGGAGATTCCTCAAGGATCTAGAACCAGAAATACCATTTGACCAAGCAATCCCATTACTGGGTATATACTCTAAGGACTGTAAATCATTCTACTATAAAGACACATGGACACATATGTTTTTTGCAGCACTGTTCACAATAGCAAAGACTTGGAGCCAACCTAAATGCCCATCAGTGATAGACTGGATAAAGAAAATGTGGCACATATACACCATGGAATACTATGCAGCCATAAAAGGATGAGTTTATGTCCTTTGCTGGGTCATGGATGAAGCTGGAAACCATTATTCTCAGCAAACTAACACAGGAAGAGAAAACCAAACACCACGTGTTCAAGTGGGAGTTGAACAATGATAACACATGGGCACAGGGAGGGGAACATCACACACCAGGCCCTGTCAGGGGTTGGGGAACTAGGCAAGGGATAGCATTAGGAGAAACACCTAATGTAGATGACGGGTTGATGGGTGCAGCAAGTCACCATGGCACGTGTATACCTATGCTACCAACCTACCTGTTCTTCACACGTATTCCAGAACTTAAAGTATAATTAAAAAAAAATGCAAAAGGAAGAATAGTGTGATTCATAACCACCTCTCACAAGCCCCTGAGAAATTTCTTACCTAGGAATTCTTTGCTGTGAGAATATAATTTTAAGACATAAGTGAAATGGCTAAAACAGTTCCTTGCACAAAATAATCAACAAATGCAAATGTTCACTTTTTTTCTCACTCTTTCTTCCATGTACAACTCAAACACTGGATATAGAAAGAGATTGCTCTCGATATAATTACTTATATTAATACAAATTAAATAGTTGATAGAGAATTGATGTTTACAAAAGGTTTCCACATGTATTTTATTCAATTCTCACACTAATCTTACAGGCAAAATATTTATTCCCATTTTGCAGAGAAGAAATCTACAGCTCAGAAAAGCTGGTAAACTGGCCCAAGGTCAAACAGCTGACTATATATTCATCTAATGCAGTGTTTCTGAAGTGTGGTCCTTTTACCACTTGACTCAGAAATACTTCTGGCATTTGTTAATATGCGTATTTATAAACCTCACCCCAAATCTATGGATTCAGAATCTCTGGACTTCTCAGATTTTGAACTTCACCAGGACTTTGTATTTTTCACTAACTCTCCAGATAATTGTGATGGACAATGAAGTTTGAGGCTCATTGTCCTACACTGTATGTCTCCCTAATTGGTAATAAAAATGTATTCTGGTAAAAGCCCTTTAATTGATTCCCTGATGGTTAAGATACTATCCTGACATGATTTTTAACGATTTCACTATCTTTGTAGCCATTAATTGAAGTAATTCTCAAAGTACGGTCTTGAAACAGCCGCATCATCATCCCATGGGAACATGCTGGGAGTGCAAATTCTGAGACTGCAACAGACATTGGGGAGAGAGGCCTCCAGGTGATACTGGGGCATATGAAGTTCAAGAGCTACCTTTGCAGATGACACTTGTAGTAACTATCTTTTCAATTCTTTGGCCTACTTCCTTTGGGGGATCAACTGTCCCACCTGCACATACGATCATCCGTACATATCATTGGTTATACCTTTATAAACACTGTTCTTACCAATAACTGCACCCTCTCCATAATCACTATGTCTCTCTCCTATTCTCTAACCAGCATTTTGTACCTTTCCAGATCATCCTCTCTAGTACTCTAAGTCCAACAACTCTTCAATCCTATGGAAACCTCCAATCCATTGATTCTATCTCCTTTTCATTCTCATTACCCACATATGTAGTTCCCCATAACTAGATAGTATGGTCCACAATTACACTCATCTCCTTGCACATACCTTCAATTTCCTTACTTCTGTCCCTTTATTGTGAGTGTTACACCTGTCAACTTTCCAATGCTAGTTATATCCAATGCTCTGCCTATTCTGAGCTTTCACATACGTAGTGGAACAAATCAAGAGAAAAATATAATCATGCTGACAGGTCTCACATTGAATTCAGTCATTGGACCACATCTCATCTGTATCTACACACATTCCTTAGATAATCTCATTCAGGCCTCTAGCTTTCAATACTTTTTATATGCAACCATTCTAAAAATTATACCCCTACACAGACTCATCCCTCAAGCTCCCAAATCATACAAAATTCAAACTCATCACTTGTATACTGACTTGGAATCTCCAGCTTCATATCTCCGAAACCCCTGATTCTACCTCCATCCCTGACCTGCTTCTATCAGTCTTCTTCTTCAAGGAAAGTGGCAGGTCAAGCCTTACAACTTTGAGATTATTCTCCATTATTCGATTTTTCAAACTCCATATCAAAAAGTCTTATTGGCATCACCTTCAAAGTATATTCTGAATCTGACAACTTTGTCCCATTTCCATCCCTATATTAGTCCATGACAACATCATCTCCCACCGGGGTTATTTTACAAGAGCTTTCTAAACGCTTACCTTGTTCCTACCTTTGCCCTGCCCCCATCCCCAACAGCAGCCTAAGTGATCATTTTCAAAACAGGAAGTCCAATCACATCAATTCTCTGCTCAGAACTTTCCGTTGGCTTCTCATCTCAGAACAAAAGACCAATTTTCTACAATTGCCTCTAAGGCTGTGTATAATCTGCCCTCTCTTCCTCTCAGACTCTACCTCACAC